TCAGGAGGAGGTTGACAACCATTCTCCGCCATGTACGTCGTAATCGCTGCTCGAAAATCGGTTCTGAAAGGGAACTCTTCAAGTATCTTACACGCATGACTGTCAATGCCTTCCACCTCGCATATCTGGTTCTGATCGATGTCGAACCAGCGCAGTTGAAGGATTGACGAATCGCGTAGTGCCAGGGTGTTCATCCCCGTTGCCATACAGTTCGTCACAGAAGACCTATTCTCGATGACCCTCTTCCTCCTTTTCTTCACAAATCCGGTCTCCTCCTGCAACGCCAGCGACCGGCGCACGTGGTTAACAATTTGGGTTGATGCTTTCCTTTTGTTCGATGACATGTACGGTTATTTGCAGAATCTCCTGTGGTGATGCTCCCAAACGTCTGCAGCGAATGTGTCGGCCACACCAGATCGCTCAATACTCGTTCTCATATGCATAAGATCATGCAACTTCGGGAGTTTCCAATTTGATGGTTGGTATCTTCCAAATTTCGCTTTGATGGTCGTTACGAAGTCCGTCATCAACGCGTCACATTCGTCGAGGGAAGCTCGAGTGTGTGTTGTGCGCCGAAACAACCGTACGTACATTTGCATCAGCTTAACAAAACAAGCGGTAATGTTCTTGCCTGTCGAGCGCGGGATTATATTAAAAATGAGGAACACGCACACTGTCATCACAGACCGGTTTTGCTTCGCCTCGAAGCGTCCCTCTCGAGAAAAACAATCGCTGCCTGTGGCCACGGGCAGCACAAGTTGGGGATATGTTCGCGTACATCTCTCACTAACGCATAGCAATCTCGCATCGAGTTCCTTCAGGATCTCTGTTTGCGGTGTGTTCAGCAACTTCTCAAAGGCTGCCGCCCTGAATGCGTCGATCATGTGCAGGAATATGCCGTGTTCGATCGTGTGCATACGGTCTGGTTGCAATGCGAGGTGGTAGTCTAGCTGAGGATCATCGCCACTCGGCCCCCTGTAGAACCCCCAAAGGCCGTTCTGTTCAACATGCCTATGCATGTCCAACTCCGCCATTCGCCCTTCCGCCGCACGGCGCACGTCATCGTCGTCCGCCGTGAACACAGCTGGTGCGAGTTGAGTTTCCAGCGTCTGGGATCTCCTGCTGTCCGTGAAATCTGCCACGACATCGAGGTCCGTTTTCGACACGGTGCATGTAGGGAATACACCAAACTTCACATTCGCCAGCGCACATCGCTCTGGGTAGTCCTGTATATAGTTGAGGAGGAAAGGGTGGACAGTCACGTCCCCGAATCGCGTCGACTGTATCGTGATGCTGTCGTGCGATGCCTCCTTCGCAGCTTGCAAGACCGTCGAAAGGGCCTTGTGGAAGATGACGGCCTTTCGCTTCCTGAATGCGGTGGACTGTAGACCCCATCCTTTGTCACGG